AAAAAAAACAAAAAGGAAAAAAGGAAAAAGGGATCAAAGAAAGTGTCTAGTTGTGTAGAAAAATCGCGAAACACAGCGCCGCGTTGGAGCAGTTACGCTCGAATTTCGCGCGAGCGTCTGGCAAGCGCGCGAGATAAGAGCGTGTTTGTGGAAGGTATAATTGATGCCGAGGCCCGGTCTCGGATCGCGTTTGCCCTTAAGAGTTTGGAACTGGGTGGAGAAAATATAGGTTGTCTCGGTGGAGTGGGCCTTTGGAGGGTCGCGGTCGCCCGCGGTGCAACACGAGGATGATATATTCGCTGCAACTGCAGCTGCGCCGCGCAGACACCACACTGGCTGGCTCGAGAGGTTTCGCGGGATTACGAAACTTTTCGCTCGTATCCCTGCACGAAAACAATGAGGCGAGATCCCCGTGGATCTTTTCTACCATCTTGAACACCTCCTGTCGAACGATTTTTGCTACTCTTTACATCCTTCGTACGCTGGATGTTCATCAATCTCTGTCGAGTTTTCGAAACATATTTTTTTCTCTTTGAGAAGTCGCTAGATTTCTGTCCGTGATCGAACAAATCTCACGATGATGAGACTTGGCGCGTGTATATGTAACGTAGGAACGTGTACGTCTTAGGGAAACGGGTTGGCAAAAAACGAGCAGGAGACGGGTAGTTTTAACCGATGCTCGTCAACGAATCGGGAGTGTTCCGGGAGCAACGTTTTAGCCTAAATGCATTTTAATGAAATAGAAGGTAGCAGGCTGCGCTGGCGTTGCGCGAGCGTTCCTCACGGTGCAAAAAGTCGCGTGGCTTTACGATCAACGAGGAGACATCGCGCACTGTAATTTCGTGGTACTCGAGGGAGGGGGAGGAGAGGCGCGCCACGCTATGCTCGCAGGCATAATTGATACCCTGATTTCACAGTGGTGATTCATAATAATCAGCCAAGAGATCGCGAGCAGAAGCCTGCCTTCCGTAGCGACGTTCTATTCCGTACGGCAATTTGATATAATAAAAGTACGCCTTTTTCTTGTAGCACCGTGCTCTCGATACACCTCGACGATTTCTCCGCGATGTTTTGCGCGCGCGGCAAAAAACGTCGCGTCAGGCCGCCATTTTGAAAAGAAACATTGTGCAGAGACATTTGTTTGAAACACATTTGTCGCAACGTCACATTTTCCGCTTGTCGCATTTAGCAATAAAGTGTCAGAGTTTATCTCGTGTAAAATTTTAATTAAATTTCTGTGATTCTTGTCGTTGCATTTCGGCGCGAATCGGTTGATAACGTTGCGTGCGCCGTTCTACGTAATCGTACGAAATATGACGTTCTAATAAGTCCTAATAAATTGTCCTGTGGCCCTGTTCTTTTATTTTCGCGAAATGTGTCTCCCTCCGAGTTAACAACTCGGTTAATTAACGTTTACGCGTAAGGAAACCGTAGACGCGAGGAGCTTCCATTCTTACACGGCGCTGCGCGGCGCGGCACAGCGCGACGTTCGCGTACCGTTAACCTCGCTATCGGAGATTCGAAACAATGTCGGCCGTGTCGCGCGTGATAGATGGTCCCCGTGGCTGTGTGCTTCTCGTGGCCGTTTTCTGGCGCGATCGCCGTGTCAGCCGGCAAGGGAGAAACGGGATAATTAGTCGTGCCGAGAGCCGCGAGGTTCGCGCGAGTAAACGGCGTGTAAAGCGAGAACCGCGCCACGGGATAATTTGTGCGAGTTCGTTGATCCTCCTTCTTGTCCTTTTCTCGTAATTAGTCAGCGAGCCGGCCGACGAGCAATAACTTTCCAGCTTCGTTGCTCGGCTGCCTGGGCTTAACTGGTCGTAACTGTGTTAACAACACAGCTTCTTCGGTTTCTTTCTTCGAAGAAGGATGCCATTGTGAGAAATTACGCGCGAGGAGAACATCTTGCGAATATTCGAACTAGGATCGACGAGTTGCTAGAGAAGAATAAGAAGAAGAAGAAAAAAAAAAAAAGCAGAAAAAATGAACAAGGTCGGCCTTTCCATAATATAGCAAGAAGAATATTTACTGTATTACTTTTGTTTGAAAATGCGTTGCGTGTAGCGGTTGTCAGATTTCAGCAGAAACTGGGAATTTGAGTCGTTCGTTGACTCAAGGTAACAGCCAAGGACTATCTCGCGGTACGACCTCGATTTACGTCGATCTGGATGTTGGACAGGCGCTTGCGGAATGCGCGCCAAGACGAGGAGGAAGACCGGTCTGGCGTTTGCGTGCGGCGATCGCGTTAGACCGCTGAATATTTCATTCATAAGCGAGCGATCAGCGTGTTCCGTGCTCGCTGGCGGAGCGGAGCGCGCGCGCGCGCGCTCGCGCACGGGCAACGATCGCGCGCGGCACGTAAGTACGGTGTGAGTGGCCGCGAACCGTGCAACGCCAACCGGGGCTAAATCGCGGCGAGTTGCAGTCGCAATTACAATCCTCTGAGCCCCCGTGAATGAAACGTCCGTCCTTTTTTTCCTTTCTTTTTTCCCTTCTACCACCACCTCCTTCTCTTTTCCTTCCGCCTCCTTCCTCTTTCTGCATCGCGATTCTATCCTGCTGTGGAACGCCGCGCGGCTTGTTGCGCCACTGAGAAAAGAAGCCGACCTTCCACCGGGTCGAGGGTCACGACACGATGGCGATTCAGCGACACGCGTGGGTTTCGCTGATTCAGACGGTGGGTGCGCGCGTGGGTGTCATTGTTCGTCTACTCTCTGTGAATGAACTGCGCTCGCACGGTGTGACGAGGGTTTTAATTGGCGGGACGAAGGTTTATCTCGCGGAGGGAAGGGAGACAACAAATCTGGAAATAATCTAGAAATCTTTCTCTCGGTTTGAATTCTTCGCGATTGAATGTAATCAACATTCCCTTGGAGAATACGCTTCGTATGTATATCTACGAACGATGCCTTTCTGTTTCTTTACGCTTATCGTCGTATCGTCGTGAGTCATTGAACGTTAGTCACGCGTCAGTTTGCGCAAGTTTAACGATAACGAAGAACAACAAGCAAATGTTCAACGTACGTTTCACTCTCCGCTTCGAAAACTACGAAACTACGAAATATTTCCTAATATGCTGAGATAAGTTTTTCAAATTTCGACGAACGAAACCTACCTTACGTTACAAGTCATAAATTACAAATTACAGAGATAAATGTATGACTTAATTTATAGATTATAAATTATACAAGATACAGAAGAGCTGGCGAACTAAACTGACTAATTCTTGGTTTCGCGTGCTTGCAGAATTTCCGGGAGCATCGGATCGACGGAGCAGCGTTGCCCCTGCTGTCGGAGGACCACTTGACCGGGCCGATGGGCATGAAGCTGGGCCCAGCGTTGAAGCTTCGCGCGCTGCTGGCCCGAAAGTTGGGCGCTTGCACCGTCTGTTTGCACTGCGCGCACTGCCATCAGACGCCTTTGCCGGCGTTGAACGCGGCCGCGGCCGTGGCAACCGTCTCACAGCAGCAACACCAGCAGCAACCGCAGCAACAACAGTTGCCTGGAAGGCGGCCGAGCAGCACGGGGAACTGACAAACAATGGCGGAGACTCCTCTGGGCCCGGAGGGCACGCTCGCGTCCTCCGCCGATCCGAACAGGGCCCTCAGGATAGAACGGCGCGTATCACGTCCCGTACGTAAGCCGGAAGTGGTCTTCAAGAAGCCCATCAAACAGTGACACTGCGGACACTGTGCTGTTGATTTTCGGAGGCTCCGCCTTGTCCTTCGCGTTGCGTATTCCCTTCCTGAACGTTCTACAACGAGAAACAGTTTTTCACATGCAGTACCTGGGAAAAAAAACAAAAAAAAAAAAAAAAAAAAAAATAAAAAAAAAAAAAAAAATAAAGAAAGAAAGAAACAAACCACTCCGTCTCGGAGGCAAAATTTGCAATTTGCTACGTTATTGTACTTACTTGCTTGCTTACGTTTGACGACTAGGTCGTGCGCAAGTGTAGAGAGAAAGAGGGCGAAAATTAGCAAAATCAGCCGGAAGTACTTAATCTTTTATATTGATAATTATCAATCGGGTGTAAATAACTTTTTAAGTCTAGATTGTTTTTTCTTTTTTTGCATTATCATTCACGTACGTACGTAGTCACACTTTCAATTGTTTCAAATTGTCGAATTTTTCATTCGAGTTACGCTCGAACTTTTCTGATCTTTACCCACTGGAAAAGTTCGATTCGACGAGTTTCAATCGTCACGAATCGCCGAGTCGAACAATCGAGCCTTCAGAACGATACTCAGTGCCTGAAACAATTTCTGCAGCAATTTCGAGCGGGGATCGGTGCAATTGCCGAATTCTTCGAAATTTCGTTTCCCCGTGTTCGCGAGGAACTTTCACGCCGCCGATCAGACTCGCAGATAGATAGATCTTCTTTCGCCAAGCAGCAAGTGGAGGATGACTAACAAGTGTTAACGTTCTCCCGTTTCGCCGCTTATAAATTCGAAATAGACACGCGATGAACACAAAAGAGCCAACGCCGCGTGATAATCAAATTAATTGGGATGGCAATTAGCGATTAGAGCGCCTCGTTTGCGTGCTTAGTCGGGTTATATCCGGTCGCTGGAAAGGAGGAAAGAAAATGGCCAACCGGAAGCTACGTGTTCGATCTCCCGCGCAAGCAAGCAGCGTGTCAGCGTGTTTTCAAATCGGTTTCACACTTGGCGAAGGAACGAGTTCGAAGAGACTTTAGATATTTTCTTTTTTCTTTTTTTCTTTTTGCCCTCTTTCTTTCTTCCTTTATCATCAACGAAACAGTGCCTCTGTCTTTAAAGATTTGTCTTCCAAAAGAAAAGGCTGGCCTTTCGAGGCTGCTCCTTGTTACCTGAAATGTACTTGTGTACTTAAAAAGAAAATTACTCGAGTTTCGTTCTACGAACTAAATTTGCAAACTAGAAAGAAAGCCTGTCGCTGGAGTACGAGACATTCTAGTAATATTTACGATTAGTAAATTAGATTTGGATATTATACAATTTCAAGAAATTCAAATGCAAAGTTAATCCCACGGTGCTACGTTTATAGATATACGTGTTCTGTCAGTGGAACTGACGAGATGATGTATCACTTAGGTTTTAGATCGTAAAAAAAGAGTATCTTTCAGAACGATTTTAAATAGTGAAGCAGGAAGAACTAATAATCACCCGATTGTTAGACAAAACTCGAATAATTTCACGAAAAAAACCGAGCGTGACAAACACGGACCGTAAGTGCCGAGTGATGATTCTGTCCTTCGTTATCGAACAAAGAATTCAGCTGGTTAAAGATAAGAAGGAACATTAAGCGTACCGCAGTACGTGTAATATTGTACATCCAGCGAACCAGCCGAAAAATTGTTCAGCGATTATGTGTAGAAAAGGAGAAAAGAAAGAACGAGCGAATGAAACAGTTGTATGAACGAGAGAGTGATAGAAAGAGGTGGAGAAAGGTACACCAAGAATAGAGAGTGAAGAAAAATAAAGAGACGACACTTCACTAGACGGGGAAGCAAAGTGAAAAGGAAATGAAGAAAGAAAGAGAAAGGAGACGAATTCATGTGCAATAACGGCGAAAAAGGAATGTCGCTTTCCGACGCGGTACTTTTAACTTTACTACGATAGGATGATACGTATTTGCTCAAACCGTTGTTTCTTTTATATATTTTAACGAAGTTTTTATATGAACGTGAATTATAAATGATAAAGTATACTAAATTATATTTTTGCTAACGTTCTACGTGCAAACTACACGCGAGAAGATCCGTTCGCGGGCTATATTCTTATAGGGAGTACACGTGACGCACACGTGTCTATTTGTAGAGAGCAGAACATGCAGAAACATGCAGAACACGAGTTAGAAGACGATGTAACGTAGGAAATCGACATATATTTACGTACATTTGCGAGATATCGACGAACCCATAAAGATAGAACTTAGAGAGAAAATACTGTAAATTAATTTTCTTTTTCTCTTACTTGCAAGGCGTTTAACGTTTATTTATTTAGTAGTGAAACCGTTGCCTTATTGTACTCATGTAATGTAACGATTTAGCCGTAAAAGAGAGTGAGAGAGAGAGAGAGAGAGAGAGAGAGAGAGAGAGAGAGAGAGAGATAGAGAGGCAAGCGAATCGTCCAAGCTGGTTGTTAGAACGAGAGAGAGAGTTGATAAGTCGCGAGACGAGCAGTATTTTTAGATTTACATTAGCCTGAATTTACTGCAGATTTATAATACGTTTATAAATATTATGTATACGTACACTTACACGCGCGTTCTCGCGCGCGCTATATCCCGCCACGTGTCTCCAGCTTTTCGTTTTACCACGTATTTATATTATCGTTGTGATATTTCTCTAGTGTAATAATTATTGGCAATTACTCGATTACGTTTTTAACAAATAATTTCACTGACCTGACGAGCAAAGGGGAACACGAATGAAGTTTCAAGTATCAAAAACTTTACATCACTTGTTGTCATGAATTGAATTGAATCAACTGGGATTGATTGGTAAAAAAGTTTTTGTTGAGTGTCAATAGCAATTGATTCGTCTTGCCGTACCTCAGTCATGGAGAAACATAATTTGGAGAGTTAAGAGAATCGACGATACACGAGAGATACAGGGAAAGGAATAAACGTAAAGTTGAAAGACACGGGCGGACATTAACCGAGCTAGCGGCTTTTACTTAAATCGAGATCATTGTACATAACGCTTAAGCATTTATTTATATCGTGCTTTTACAAAAGGAGGATCCGTAGTATTTTATTTAGTTTCGTAGCAGAGGTTCATGCACATCATTACCACGTTAGCACGAGATCGTTAAATTGTCGGGCGGGGTGCGAACGGGATGTAGAAGCAGACAGCTGCGGGATTCGTGTGTTTTTATTGTGTAGGTATTTGTTGGAGAAAACAGAAAGAAAGAACAATAGGAGGTATGAAAGAATATTCGTATGTACGTGGGATTATTTAAAGAACGAAAGAAACGAGAGAACGCACACACGCACACACACACATATATACAGTATATATACATATATACAATATGTGTGTATGTATATATATACAGAAAGGGACGAGCATGCTGGAGAAAAAGAGGGATAAAGAAGCGAGCGATAAGGCAATCTTGTGATACTTTGATGATTTTATTTCTCACCCATTTTTTTTTTCTTTTTTGACGATTTTATTTCTCACCCCTTCTCATCCTTCCTTTCCTTCTGCGATTTATTTCCCCGTTATTACGTACCAAACGTTACTCTATTTTCCTCGCGAGAAATTTCCTCCCGACGTTCCCCATTTTTTTATTTCTCCATCGCGCGTCTGTCGTGTATTACTCTACCGATTAACAACTGTCATATTATGTATAGTAGAAATTAATGGTGGAAAAGAGAACAAGAACAATACATTGTTTCTGTTAAAATAAACCTTGTTGAAAAGTATCTGTGCTCGGCCAAGTTGCTTTCGCCAAACCCAAAATCACGCGAGGAAGGAAACTGATCTGCGGAGGAGGAGATTGCAAACTTTGTGAATATGGGACTTTTTCGCAAGAGGACTGTCGTCGTCGAGGCTTGAAAAAGAAATTTTATTATGATAAACAAGTGAACGTTGTCTTTGTTCCATTGCGCATCCACAAGTGGACGTTGCAATACAAACAGAAGACACGAACAGTGTGATAACAGTTTGAGCAGAATTTATATTTGCCTTTGATTCGTCACTTTGATCCGACGATCTGCGCGACGATCAACTTCCTCCTCGTTGGTTTTACAGTTTCGCCTGAAAGTGAAGTATTTGTCGATTACCCGATCGTTGCTCTCGCGTTCTCGCGATCAGCTGTGAAACTCACCTTGACGTGAATAGCGAGAACTCCGTCTTCCTCTCCTTTCAAGATCTCGATGTACGCGTTGCCATTTTGTTGCACGTTGACCACTTTCCCGGTGCATCGTCCGTCCTTCAAATTGCCAGAAATCACGTCGCAGTACGTACCAGCGGGCAAGCAGGTCTTCAGGGTCGTTCTCAGATCGTTCTGGTCACCGTTGAACGCAACGAATCCAGAATTCCCGCGGCAGAACGCGATCTGATTGCTACCGTTGTCCCACCAATTGTTGACAGTCGTTCCATGAACCACGTTACGGAAACGAACCATGTTGTAAATCTGTCTCCAGCGGTGTTCGCAGATCCAACCGTTTCTGCAAGTGCCGTCCGGATTGATAGCAGGAGACACGAGATTGCCGTTGCCATCTTGAGGTGGTCCTTGATCCTTGCTTTGGAAGTCGAAGGAACTCATTACGCGCGGAGTGCCGAACGGGTGAGCCAGCATGAAGGCGACGGCCATCTGCGAGTAATTTGGTTAAAAATTTTACAGATGGAGCAAAGTCTCTCTGGATATCTGTTGGCAAAGATTCGGCAGTTTTGACGTTTTAGACAGTATTGGAAATGTTGGAAGATATTGGAAAATTAATAAGGTTTCTTTCTTGTTTAAGCAACGAAAAGTAACTACTTAATATTTGTAGAATCTTTCGCCAATCTATAGTTGTTGTTTTTAATAAGAATCTGATAGCCGAAACTAAAATTAAAGTCCCATGAAACGTCAGACGAAGAGCAATCATTTGTCTGTTGACGTCTGACCATTGACCGACCTATTCTACTCGCGGACTCTCGCGTGGCCTTGCGCTGCAGTTTGGAGGCCAAACAAACAAATGATTATCATCTTTGAGACTTTTCGAATATCAAACACATACTTTACTAAGAAATTACTAAAGAAAAAAAGAATACAATTGTTTTTCTTTTTTTCTTTTCTTTTTTGCTAAATATTCTTATTAATTAAATTCTTTCCTTGAAAATAAATAAAATTTTACTTTACCCTGTATTTTACGAAAGTGTGAAAATGTAAATTCACGTCGATGGCTTACCTTGTACATTTTCGACAATTTGTAAGTGAGTACATTAGGATTGTCGCGTTGCGTGTCGTGATTATCGACGAAAACGAGAGAGTCTTGCGAAGATAAAAGGCCCCACTTCTCTCCCCAGTTGACGAGCCATTTCAGATTGTTGTTACCTCGGAAAGCGTTGGAGATTTCAGCAGCGTACTTGAACTCGATCACGGCGGCCAGTTGATTGTACTCGCGCTTAGAGATCGCCTCGTTGCCGTAGTCGATCACTTCTTGGTATATGTATGGCCGAGCGTTCGCAGGGAAACCGTGTTTGGTGTTCAGGTCCTTTATTCTCGAGTAAATGTTGTTCAAGTCGCTTGGCCACATGTGCTTCGCAGCGTCGATTCTGATTTCGAAACAGATCGAAATAGAAAGCGTCTCGAGTCAGAACGTGAATAATTTCTCCATCGTTCGTTTACAATTTCAAGCAGAATTTTTTCTTTCAGCAAAACATTTTAACAGTTCATAACTTATTCTCAGACACTTGGAAAAAAGAAAAAGAAAAAAAACCGAAATGACGAAACAACGTATTTACGAACCGGAAGCCAGCAACGCCCGCGTCGACAGCCGCGTTCAAGAAATCCAGCAGCTTGGACTTCACGTACTCTTGGCTCTGATCCAAGTCGTGAAGGCCGGTTAATTCGCAGTTTCGTACGTTCGACGGATCGTTGTAATTGTTGACCGAGCAGGGTTTATGAAAATGTTGCTGGTGGTAGGGCACCTGATAGTACTCGAATTTGTACGTGTCCGCCCTGGAGTTTCCAGTGCCGTGGGCGTTGTTCCAGTTGCCGGACATGTGATTCAGAATAGCGTCCACGTAAATTCGGACACCGGCTTTGTTGCATCTCGCGACCATGTTGACAAACTCCTCTTTCGTGCCGGACCGCGTGGTCCACAAGTAAGAAATCGGCTGGTAACGTTCCCACCATGGCCTGTTGTTGATCACCAGGTTCTCTTGCAACGGCGACACCTGTAACAGAGAATGCGAATACAGCAGAAGAATAATAGAAGGAATAATAAATGGAAAGATGTTGTCGTGCCATGTTGTACAAGTTACATCAGATGGAAAAGTTGTTTCTTTCTTTTTTAAATCAGAAATGGTAAACAGATTAAACAAGAATGAAAGAAAAGATCCATGTAAGAATGTAAGAGTCAAGAGTGTATTACAAGTTTATGCTGACGCGTCGAATGAAACGAAACGATGTCAAAATTATTTCCTAAAAATTGGGGGCGAGATTGTTCGGTGGTTTCTTTACCTGTACTCCACCGTATCCCATTGGTCCAAGGAATTGTTCGCACTCCCTGGCAATGTCGTTCCATTTCCACTCGAAGAGGTGCACGATAGAGTCGTGGCCAGGGACGAAGTGAGGATTTTTATTGGTGTTTTCGCCCGCTGCCAACGCGAGAGCAGCCAACAACGTCGCAATCGCCAGCATCGTAGTTGGTGTGCGTTACAAAATGCTCTGCTCCCCTAATATATAAACTCTCTCGCCGCTGGTCGATTGCATAACCATTTTCTGCATCCAAAGGTCAACGCTGCAATTACATTTTATCGATACGTCTCGTGTATCTATTGTTCCACTTTTCCTTATCTTCGCTAACAATAGAGGAAGAAGAGGCCTGTTAGAGTAAACAAAATACTTGACGTAAGTAATCAGCTAGAATGTTTTTGATGACGTAATCTCAGTTTTTGCGATGATGATCTCAGTTCTTCGGATGGGTTGATTACCGCTTGTATCGAAAATTCGAAATACACAGAAGGAATAGAATTAACTTAAAATAAACTTAAAATCAATCCACTGATGCAAAACTGATGCACGGGTAATTATAATTTTCCAAAGATCAGACGTTCCTCACAAAGAATGCCAGGTACAATTTTGTTTGACGAGTTTCGAGTATTGTTTAACACGAGCGTGTATCTTGACACGTGCATGAAAATCATAACGAGTGAATAATAATTCATAAAAGTACGTGACTCGCCCGAATAATTGATGCATAACTAATCCCAAGTTCAAAGGCAGTTAAAGTACTCGCTGCAGTCGGAATTTCATTATCATATTAAAAACGCCATCGATACAAAGTATCGTTGCTCAGCCACAAAAGAAAGAATGCAGTCTTCTTTCGTTCTAAAGTGCACATTTCGAAGATGGTACGTGTAGCTATCCTGTACAGCCTATCGTTACAGGCTATCGTGTATCGAATAACACCGTGCGTTAAATCATTTGAAACCAACAAGAAAAAATCTATAGAAAAAGTTGTAGAGAGTTGAAACCTGTCGTAAAATTGTTGGCCCGTCGATCTGATATCGCGAACGTGATTTTCGAATGATGAAAGGAAGGAAGAGAGCGAGAGCAGCAGGCTCTGCGCTTCGTCCGGAATAATTACGAGCGATGGTTAATCGGTCGAGTACAGAATACAGAAGGATCAACAAGCAACAGCAACAACAACAACAACAACAACAACAACAACGGCAACAAGAGGCAACCACAGGCCGTAATAGACAGCAACGTGGCTCGTTATCAGCGGCGGTGGCTCGTACATATATATCGCCGCGAAGCTTGTAAAGTACCATTTCGCTGCGGGGTTACAATTACGAGCGAGGCGCGTAATTAAAAGCTGATGTCTCTCATTTATTAATGCTACCGAACGAGTTTAGCCGCGCTGTCGATGCACGGCCGTGCGGCTCGCTCGTTTTAATGCCAAACGTCATCAGTCTTCGACCATCGTCTCCTTCCGTTCTTCCACTCTTCCCACTCGCCGCGCCGTGTAATGGCACGCCGTAAAAAAAAAAAAGAAGAGAAAAAAAACAAAAATTCATCGCCAACCACGGGAAATTCCGAGTTATCTCACTTTTTCATTTTTAGAATTATATCTGTATCGTCGTTCATTAATATCCATCTACAATGTAATAACACGGAGGAGGATTCAATTTGTTTCGAGATCCTTGAATAGAAGTAGCTGGAAAACTTGAAAAAATTTATCGTTTAGAAGATCATTTTTGCGTTCTTCTGTGCGTCAGTTTGTTTCACCTCCGATTCTTTTTAAATTCCGCCTCATCTTACACGTTTCATGCACATTTGCAAGCTTGATTGTTATTCCAATGAGAGAGTCAAATGGCTCGATCGGTTTACGTTCTTCGACTTAATTATTACTCCATTGTTTTCTGACACATAAGATGTTGGGTGAATTCGACAGATGTGTTCGTTCGAAGGTTCGATTTATTTAGCGCAAGGTCAGTTCAAGTTTCGTTATCGATTCAGAATAACAAACAGTAAATAACAAGTAATGGAAAAAGCATGTTATTTATAATAAATGAAATTGAAATTATCAGATTATAGATATAAATTATCATGTTTGAACAGCAGAGTGGCAGATAAAATTGTCGTGATTTGCCGGACCGAGTAGGCGACCGACTGGACAGAGAAGGAAGCAAAAATCTCTCGATTGGTAGTTCCGTGACATCACGCTCTTCTCACTTTATTTCAATTCATTTGGCTACAGAATATCACAACATGATAGAGATCGAACTTTAGATAGAGTTCACCGTGAAACTGATCGATGAAATCGAAACATTTTACCGTACGCATCGACAGGGGAGTAAATTTCAAAGTGAGGAGAGTCCAAACAATGTTTAGGATAATTTCCATTATACGTGTAATTAGAAACTTGTTGGTCAAACTTATTATTCGTCTCGTTAAAAGTTTCCTCTCGCATCGAAGAAGACGCGAGAATTTCGATGAAAAGACTGCATCGATTGTACGAAAATTGTCTCGATTCGATCGACTCGATGGTAACGCTGCGACGAGTAGTCAACGCCGTTAGGCTGCTCAACGATATATCATTTTTTATTATTAACCATTTCATTTTCTTTCTTTTCCTTTTCTGTTATTTCGTTTACGCACACTTTACATACAAAACAGCAGAAGTAACGATGCGCACAGACAGACAACGATTACACTGATTAAGTAGACTACACCATATTCATAAATATACTCTTGACACTTATGCAACTGAGCCGCGTACAACGTGACGATAATAAAATACAATTCTCCGACAGTGGCGGCTGCGATTTAGCTTCACGGTTTGATGCTCGGTTCCGTTGTTCTCCTTTTTCCTCTTTTTTTTCCTGTGTTTTTTTCTGTTTTTTTCTGTCTTTTTCTTTTTTTTTTTTTTTTTTTTTTTTTTTTTTTT